CACTTGCACGGGAGTTGTAGCTCGCGATGGCGTTGCGCATCGTTCCCATCTCCTGGCGCATATCGGCGGACTCGGTATGGATGGATTGCGTGAGCGCAGCCAGGAGGAGGAGTAGGAGGAAGAGGAGGAGGAGAAGGATCGAGGAGGAGGGTTGAGGAGGAGGGTCGAGGAGGAGGAGGATCGAGGAGGGTCTCCCTTCCCATCACCCACACTGGGGTGACAATCAAGGGGTCGACGCCGCTGCTCACTGGACTTCTCCAGGGACGCCTCGGGGCGAGTCCAGCTGTGGTGACGAGGGCTGGGCAGCGACATCGGATTATCGTTCTCCTCGGACCGCTCCCCTCCCACCCTTCCTTAGAGGCAGGACAACGACAGGAACAGAATCTGCCAACGCTCCGCGCTGGACCCCCCCGCGTGTGTTCTTCGTCGATTCCTCCTCGCCCCCGCGCCCTCACTCATCTCCGCAGCTGCTGCTGCTGCTGCTCCGCCCGCTTCTGCTGGGTCGCCCCACCTTCGGGCGTCGCGCCCCGCAGGGCACGGCATGCTGCCCTCTCTGCGCCCTCGCGAGGCCCTCCTCCTCCTCCTCCTCCTCCTCCTCCGCCTCCTCCTCCTCCTCCTCCTCCTCCTCGGCGCAGGGCAGCTGGTCGGGCCAGGCCGCGCCGCGAAACGCGCGGATCCCGTCTCGCCCCTGGGGTGACCTGGTTTCTTCGTCCTGGTTTGGGGCGCACAAGGACATACTGGCACTCTGTCCTCTTCGGAGGGGTGCGTCCGACACGATCACGTAGCGCAGCGATCTTGCACAGGATCGTTTCCAGAACGGTATGCCTAGAAGTCGCCCGCCAGAGACCGTATACCACAAAACTTCTCGTTGCGCGTGTCGCCCTTTTTCGGGGGAGACGCGCACACAACATTGGCATGTGACGCCGATCCACCTGCACCCCTGCGGGGGGAACGACGCGATATCAAAGACACACTGCCGCGGGGCGTCCCGTCGCCGTGCTGCGCCTGAAGAACCGTCATGACTTCGGGCAGTGGCCAGGGAGCAACACGCGGACGGGCTCCCCACGGCGGCATGGCATCGAATCTCTTCTTCCCCCCCGAGCTGCGCCTCCCGCTCCTGCTCGACGCCCCCCCCCCGCCTCTGCGTATGATCGGGTGTTCTGCCTCCCTCCCCCTGCCTTGTAGATGCTTTTCCCAACCATCATGTGGTGTTGGGTCCTCGTTTTGAAGAGACAGCGCCCCGCGTTCTCGCTCCTCCTCCTCCTCCTCCTCCTCCTTCTCCCTCCCTCCCCTTCCTCCTCCGATCCCTGCCTCTGCCCCCCGAACCAGTCAACCATTTTGGCACACCCCTCAAACGCTTCGTGGCCCCATGGGAAGCCCCACCGAAGGCCCAAATGCCAGCGTTCGCGCATGCGGTCACCGCACCCAATTTGGCACACCCCTCACACGCTTCGTGGCTCCATAGGCAGCCCCACCGAAGGCCCGCGGCCACCGCACCCATTTTGGCACACCCCTCACACGTTTCGTGGCCCCACAGGGAGCCCTACCGAAGGCCCAAATGCCAGCTTTGCGTGTGGCCGCCGCACCCAATTTGGCACACCCCTCATACGCTTCGTGGCTCTCACGTATGTGGTGCATACAACGACGGTGTTCACAACTGCATATGGTTGGGTCCTTCGCCAGGCTAATGTATCGTGGGTCTCCAGCTGCGCCTCCCCCCTCCCGGCTCCTCGTCCTTCCCATTCCTCCTCCTTTCTGCTCCTGCTTCTGCTCCCGCCCCTCCCCGTGTTCCTCCTCCTCATTCCCCTGCCGCGTCCTCCTCAACCGCTCCTCCTCCCCAGTCTCCTCCTCCTCCTCCTCCTCCTCCTCCTCCTCCTCCTCCTCCTCCTCCCCTCCTACTCCTCCTCCTCCTCCTCCTCACGCTCCCCCCTCCCCCCCTCCCCCTCCTCGTCATCATACATGGCGTCCCCTGGAACAGAGCTACAATGTATCTACGTCCCCTGGGCTGCACGATGACGCCAGCCGCCATCACCACGCGCAACCGAGGCGCGAATGAGCGGTCGGCTTCACCAACAAGGACAACCCTCAACAATCCGAAACACTGCATGCCAACGTCCATGCCAAACTCAGCAGCGCCACCGCATTGTTTGATTTGTTTGATGTTCGTCTTCCCCCCCACTTCCCACATTTTCGCATATTTTCTCAGGAAATCGACGATTAGTTGTGTCTGTTTTTTCCCCCTCCTGATCTATGTACTAGGAAAGAGGGTGCCGCACGCAACACTCACCCACCTACTTCAAAGCAGGGGCCACCACAATGCTCATTGCACTGGTCTTGCAAACGTGCTGCAGCGGATTTCTGCGTGGATTCTTGCCCGAAGCGGCGGGCAAACAACGAAGTGAGTTTCGTGTGGATGTTGGTTTGGTATTCGTTCCTGGCCCAAGCAAATCCGCGCGAAATTAACCTCGAAATCCGGAACGAAAGTATCCAGGACACTCCGGGCCAATCCTATCGTTTTCCAAACGAAATTCGCTCTGCGATGTTGGCGCCATGACAATGCAGGCCTGTCCAAGCATTGGGAACCTGGATGCAAGACCTTGGTGTGCCACGAACATAAAATCCAAGCCTAGCTCACATCGGGCCGCAACGCTCCGAAGTGACGCCTGGGTGGATGCGAGACAGGCTAGGCGAGCTACGCTGAGCGGGAGCAATATGAGCTCATTTGAGCGGCCTGAACCAAAAAAAAACCTTACGCAAGAACGCATGGCGACATTACTCGGTGGCTTATGCGTGCCGCAAGCGCGGTGCGCTACACGGAAACGAGGACAATTACGCACCACCACAATCAATCAGGCAACGTATGCGCGAATGCCGGCACTACCCAACTCGTTTCTCTGCGTCGCTAACCTAGTGAGGACCCCCGAAGATGCATCCTCAAACCATCTGGACATGCCACCAAGCGAGCATCTCGATGTCCCAAACCATTCGGATTATCTACTGGCCCAGGACGGCCACAACGAGGCCAGACCATGCGCCACATAATGTCACATCCACCATCCTCTTGGAGCCCAATCGAACCTTGGCTTATAACTCGTCGGTGGACAAACCTCTCTTCAGTAAGAAACCCTTTCATGAAAACAGCCGAAGGCCGAGACCGACGGACCTGGACCCGCAAAAATGACGGCCGCGACGCCCTCTCGCGAACCGAAAACAGCCAATTCGCTAACCGACGTGTTAGGGTAGGAGGTCTATCAACCTCCGAATAACACCCCTTGCTTCACTCCACCTCCCCCGTTCACTTTCCTGGCACGTTTCCTCTGGGCTGACTAAAAGGTTCCAGGAGAACTCATAGACGCCTTGATGGCTCACAATGGTTATATAAGACCTCCCACGCATCCAACGATGGTCTGCTCAACATGCCATGGCAGTCTTAGGCTGGGCATGTCCCCCTACAGGTATATATGTTGGAGGAAACAAGTCAAACGATATTCAAGCATGATCGGACATATTCGTTAGATAGAAGTCCCGGAGCATTTTTTTACTACTGTTGAATCTTCCTCCTGTAGAGGGAAAGGCCCGACTTAGTAGCGGTAGCCTCAAACATACCCATGTGAACGGGGCGGTCGACGACGGCAGCCAACAACCAACCAACACCTTGGCAAACCAGCGGCAGCAAATCGCGTGTGGTAAGTTCTAAGGTCCCTTCAGGCACGATAGGAATCACTTCGACAAGATTTGGACGCCCGAAATGGGTAAAGAAAAAGTGGGTGCAATGCCCAACAACAAATGTTGTCTCAAACCAACAGCGGCCGCTGTTGGGCAGGCGGCCTTATGTCTCGAATGGACACGGGCCGGGGCGGCGTGGACAGCAAGTCCTGTTCCAAATGAAGAAGAACTGCTGTTGGGCATTGTACCCATTATTTCCGTACTCATTTCGTTCGTGTCGAAGAAATGCCAGTCGCCGTTGCACACCAACTTCCGCGGGAACTCGATGGTCGGTCAATCGATGATCGTGTGAATCTGGGAAACACCTTGCTGCCCTGCAGAGTGGCTGGCCCTGTCTCGAAATCAATGTCTGACCGCTGGGCTGCGAACGAACAGACAGGCAACTGCAGCCCAGAATCGCGGACGCTTCTAGGCGTTCTCGGTGCCACTGGGCCTTGTCGCATGACTTTTGCGGAATCGAGATGGCCCCAATACGAAGCAAGGACGCTCCAAGAGGTCCTCAAGACGGGTCAAGAGGGTATCGATTCACCGAAACATTGTCCTAAGATGCGCAAGATGGCCTGAGGGGCGCAAGTACGGCCCGAGAAAGCCCCGAGAGGGCAAGCACCGTACTGCCTTCCATGGTGGCCGACGCTGCCCCGAAGCTAATATCTTGATGCGCTGCGAACGAACAGACACGCACACTGCCGCGTACCCATCCCCCTCAAACTCCTCCTCCTCCTCCTCCTCCTCCTCCTCCTCCTCCTCCTCCTCCTCCCTGCCCAGCCAGGCGCACGAGGAGCGGCGCCTGGCGAGCGCCGCCGCGGGCGGCTCGCAGCACGAGGGCCCGCCGCTCCCGTTCAAACTCCTCCTCCTCCTCCTCCTCCTCCTCCTCTGCGCCCCAGCTCGTGCTCCCCCTGCCCCTGCAGGCCCAACCACGGCGGTGGAGAAGCTCGGCGGCACGCATGGCTCTACCGTTCGCCTCGTGTTGGAGGTCTGCGGCGTGTGCGTCGCAGATCAGCGCAGCACCGACGGCCTTTTTCGACCCACGAGCAGTCAACTGAACCAGGCTCTCGCCTGAGCAGGGACCGACCGTCCCGGCATTCCTATAGGCATACCACGACATGTTCTTAGAACCCCAAAAACTTCGAAAACAAAGCCAATGTTCTTAGAACATGGCACCGATGGTTTAAAACAAGACTGTCCCAGCCAGAAATGCTCTCAGAACATTTCGCTGGAACCACAATTCTGTGGTAGGCCTATAGGCAAGCCAGGTCGCTTCGCCACTGCTCGACTCGCCTGGCTAGATGCCCTCCTCCTTAGAGGGCCACGCAGCCGAAGTAGCGGCAAAAACAGGCATGCACTCCTCCCGCCCAGGCTCCTGCGCGGCACCCTCTTGGAGGCTCGCTGCTCGCAGCACGGCCCAGCGCCCAAAGAAGGTGGCGCAGGTCTGTACACGTCGGAGACGAACATCAGAAAGAGCTGGCTTCGCTCGCATAGCCCGGGTAGTTCTGTTAACTTGCTCTTGACCCTACATGGAAAAGGCCAATCTCCTTCGTTCTCGCCATCGCTCGGACGGCCATTCTCCGTGCATGTTCGATGTCGTGCGTGTATGTGTTCGCCAGGTGATCCCAAGTGCTCCTCGATGGTCCTCGCCGAAAACATGCACACGTCCGAGCGATGCCTAGCTTTGAGGTATGTCGGGTGATGGTGGGGGTCGTGGGGCTGCGGGGCGATGCTGAGCCCGTTGTCAAACAATTCACCGGGTACGCACCCGACCCTGTGTACACATGTGGCGACGGTGCCCAGGGATCCGCAGTGCTCCTGAGCGCTTGCCCCAAAAAGAGCCAGGCCAGAGCCATTTGTGTCCCAGGACCCCGTGGCGACAGCTGCGCAGTTCGCAGCCTCCCCAGGAACAACAGTGGAAACAGAAGGGGGTGGCAACAGGGGTGATCAGATGCACTTGGAAATCTAAAACGAATAAACCGCAGCTGCGACAATATCTGGGAACAACTGCACATGGAAGCAGAAGGGGGCGGCGAGAAAGCGCGCTCACCAAGTGGAAACCAACGGGCGCGGCAGCGAACGCAACAAGACGCCTTCGCAAGTGGAACTCAGCAGCGAAGGGAACTGGAGGAGGGCACAAACAGAGTGGTTCGCTCGGGGCTGCTGAGGAGGTGATGGAACATGGACGCAGGACGAGGCCGTGCGCTACGCACGTGACGCCCCAACGCTCTGCGCTCTGCGACGTAACAGCGCCACGAGCTACGTGATGGGACAGCGTCGCGCGCTACGTTAGCGGCTGCCATTTACCGGATACTGGCACTCTTCTCTGGAACGACGCTGGGACGGCGAGGCCTCGTTCGGATCTGCGTCGGGCACCACTGCGCTGGACCTCCCGGGAGCCCACGACAGTGGCGGAAAGTTTCGCAGATCGCAGCCCCCCAGGGACGGCGAGGCCTCGTTCGGATCTGCGTCAGGCACCATTGCGCTGGACCTCCCAGGAGCCCACGAAAGTGGCGACAGTTTTGAAGATCGCAGCCCCCAGAGGGCCACCGCGCTGGCCTCCCAGAAAGGGATGAGGGTGGGGAACATGTTGCAGACCGTGCACCCTAGGAAACCGCGAGGTCTAGTCTGGATCTGCGCTGGGCACGCCTCTGCTGGACCTCCCAACGCCCGCGGAGAGGGGGAGAAGAGAGCAAGACGGAAGAGGGAAGCAAGAGGGAGGAGGGGGAGGAGGACAGGTGGAGGCCACGGCGCTCTGTTCAAAACGAGAACCCGACTGGAAGGTTGGGAAAAACCACTCATCCATGAGTATCGTTCAACCGATCCCCATCCCCAGCGGCGTGGCCCGGGCCCCGCTGGCCGATCTACCCCCCTAGATGGGGGTATGGGTCGCTCTCGTTGGGTTTCGAGGGGGGTATCCCCAACTGGGGTGGCTACTTGTTGGGGGTCTCGAAAGGGATGGAGATGGGCATGGGGATCGGCTAAACGATACCGAATCCAGGGTGCGCTGGCCACGTCTGGCCTGGCCACGGCTGCCATCCCAAGCTCGGCTGCTCCATGCCCCGCACGCTGTGGCTGCTGCGCCGTGCCCTGGACGTTCGGCCCTCCGGAACGCTGCTGCACCGATCGAGGCAGCCGTGCTGGACTCGGGGGGAACGCAAGAGGGGGATGGCAACGGGTAGGGTGGAGAATCAGCTCGCGCAGCTGATCATCTTCCCAGCGCCTCCCGGCGCCGGGAAGCGCCCATGTATCGAGGAATGGGCCCGGCGGCGGGGCCGAAACCAGCTGCATGCAGCAGATTTCGTAACCCCCCCTTTTCCATTCCCCCCTTCCGTTCGGCCCGATGGACATACGCATGTGCTGTCCGCAAATATGGGTGGCCTCCTGAACGAAACGAATTCCCGAGGCACACACAAAAATGGGATCTGGGTCCTCCTTCCCCAGCCCGCTTCCCAGCGAACTGCAAGCCGCACCCAGTCGGATTGGCAGCCGAAAGGAGATGCTGACCCTGACTCGGAACGATAATACTGTACTTTGTGTGACGTGGTCATTTGTGGTTGCCAGTAGGATCCACGACCCAGGCGCCAGCAAGCGAACGCAATTGGGGAGTCGAGGTCTTACTGGCTTTAGACATAAGCGTGAGGGAGAGCTGCCACCAAGCCAGGACGAGGAACACGCCATGCCAGGAGGAGGGAGGGAGGGAGGGACGAGGAGGAGGGAAACGAAAAGCAGTGGAGGAGGAGGAGGAGAAACATCCAGAGGAGACTGTTTCGCCGCGTTCGTCCCGCCCGCAACTGCTTACACGCCAGGACGAGGAGCACGCGATGCGATACTGTCTTTTGCGACGCGCTCCCGCTAGCAGCTTCCACGACTGGGCAGCCCACGCCGACGTGTACATACATACACACACTCTGGAGAAGGCGAGGCCTCCAGGAGCACGCGCTGGCACAATCGGCGGGGCCGCTCTCCCAGCTTTAGTTCGGGCATGTCCCCCTAGAGGCGGATGTTGGACAAAAACTTAGCAAAGCTCGAATTCTTTGATATAACAATCCAAACATAGTCCAACAATCGACGCTGGATCACTTTTTGACTATTCTTGGGCACTTCTCCTGTAGAGGGACAGGCCCGACTTAATCCTAGCTTGTCTGTGCTGTACTCGCGGCCAGCTTCATGGCATAGCCGCCCGCTGGTTGATTTGTTGCGTGAGGTCTCGCTGACTCCCCTGCGCAAGCTTGACTCGCCCAGAGCATCCTCAGGCCGAGCTGCAACTTGCTCGCAGTGCTCTGGTACGCTCTGGTAGACTACTCAGTGGCTCGCTGGCACACTACGGGTGGCTAGGCCTGGCTGACTCGCGGCCAACGTTTGTCCCGCTCTCAGCCCAAGTGTGGCGCAGCACATCATTGGCCAACGAACGTGTGCTGACCCACTTGATCCTCTCCGAACCCCTCCTGATCCCCTCCTCCGCCATCCCCTTTCGTAACAAATGACCCCCCTCCTGCATCCCGGAACTGACATCCTGAACGAGCTTCACGGATGGGGGACCAATGCCAAGCTGCCTAACCGACTACCATCTGTTACAAACATGGAAGACCAATGACTGTAAACAGTCGGTTCTCGCCTGAACGCCGCGCACATTCGCTCACCACGCACATTCGTTTTGAACCTTTCCAGCAAGTGCAACATATACTTTTTAGTCAGCGGCCGCAGGCGAAGGCGCCGACTGCGTGTCCAGTCAGAGCGGGGCGCGCAAAGACGAATTAACCTAAAGCCAATGGGCCGAAGCCTCACGCGGCACCTCGGGCGCAACATATACGGGACACTTCGAATTCCAAATATGGCTTCCGCCTGAGCGCAGTGCGCATTCATTCGGTAAAGCTTGCATGAACTGCGAGGATGGGGACCGGTGCGCTTGCAATAGGATCGCTCTTGAGACTTCACCAATGGACCTATGCCCCGACATTATGTGCAAGAATCGGCCGCAGGGAGGGCGGCTCCTTTTCATACTGGGGTTGTTGGTTGTTGCTTGAAACTTCCACAACTGGTACGCGAGGACGTTGAAATATTGCAGCCCGCACGCAGGTGGATGGCAAGCCATTTTCAAAACGGAGATATCTCGCAAGCCATTTTCAAAACGGAAATATCTCTGGATACGTCCTTGAACCTTACATCTGCCCTGGCTAAAGGCCCAACAACATGCACATGTGGATAACACGGTTATGAGAATTGTCGTCGTTGGGGCTCCGTATGGGACCGTGAAACATGTCAAGGGTGTGCCTAAATGCGCGGAGAACCGCATGTAGACCCTCCCACTAGGGCGTTGGGTGGAGCTCCCCATGGGGTCACAAACCGTGTGAACGGTGTGCTGGAGCCTTGGGTGGGATTCCCTATGGGGCGACGAACCGTGTGAGTGTGACGGGCGGGAGAGGGGCCTTGGGTGGAGCTACCTCTGAGGCCACGAGCGAGAGCGGGGGAGACGCGTGCAAACGGTGGCACTGGGACCTTGGGTGGAGCTACACCTATGGCACTGGGGGCCTCGGGTGAGCTCCCTATGGGGCCGCGGACAGTGTGAGGGGTGTGCCTTTGGGGACAACCGGTGGCACTGGGGCCTTGTGTGGAGCCCCATATGGGGCCACGAACCGCGTGAGGGGTGTCCCATGAGAAGTGGCGCAGACGCATGCGAACGGTGGCACTGGGGCCTTTGGTGGAACTCCCTATTGGGCCACGAACCGTGTGCGGGGTGTGCCGACATGGGCATGCGGTGGGCAGAGGCAAGGATGGGAGGAGAGAGGGGGAAGCGGAGAAGAGCGGAGGACGCGGGCGTCCTCTTCAGAACGAGAACCCAGCCCCACAGGGTGGTTGGGAATCCAAGCTAGCTCGTTGCGTCTCCTTCAGTCCGAAGGACGGGGGTGGATCCTTGACAGAACGGGGTCTCGCCTTTCAGGGGGGCGCGCTGCAGCCATCATTGGCGCATTCTGGGTTCACCGTGGGCCCCTCTCCTCCTCCACGTCGCCCGGAGAGGTTCGGATGGTGGGCTGTCCAGCGTGGGGCGCGGGGCGCTGAAAGATGTGCAGGTGCCGCTGTCGGCGCGCGCGAGGGGGGGGAGGTCAGGGCCCCATGAGCGCTCCCTCCTCCTCCGCCCTCCACCCATTGTCCATGTTCTCGCCTCGCCTCACACCCCCACTCTCATCCTCCCCGCCACTCCCCTGCTTCCCGTGGGGTCGACCATGAAAGGATCACAGTGGGGATCCCTGTGGTGACTCCTGGGCACCCTCGGGTCTCGTGGAAACATTCCTAGGCTGTCAAGCCCCGTAAACGGGTACTTTGAAAAACAGGGAGAACATTGGCGCGCTCGGGACGACTGCAGCGGTGAGGTGAGCCACTCTCCATGATTGATCTCTCTTCGACCCTCGTCTGCAATGACTTGGTTTCCGGGTCCCTACAGGGCGGGGGCCAGAACAGGTTGCCAA